CAGTGGCAGAGTGCTCACCTAACATGTTGGAGGCCCTAGATTTGATCCTCAACACCCCATACAAATAAATAAATAAAATAAAGGTATTGTGTCCATTTACATTTTTAAAAAATTAAATAAATAAATAAAAGGAAGAAAGTCCAGTATGACCTGGAGCAGAAGCCCCTGGAGGGATAATCTAGTGGTCATGCTGAGGAATGATGGAGATGGAATGTGGACCAGATGGACTCTAAGAAGTTCCAGGGGCCTCAGAAGTTTCAACTTTCAATTTTTTCAATGTCTGGGAAATTGAACTGGAAGCATGGGGTGAGTGACTCATGAGGAAATAGGATGAAGAGTGGCTGAGGGACAGGTCTAAGAATGCTTCACCCTGAGACCAGTCTATTCCAGGAGGGCCCTGGACGGAGGACTGAGGCGGATCCAAAGCTGGGCAAAAGGGTGACTTGCTTCTCTTGTTTGGATTGATGAGTGAAAACAAGCAGTACAGTTAATCATTGATGAGGCAAAGCGTGCTTGGGTCAGGGTAGTTAACTGGGTGAAGAAGTGAGTAGGTTTAATTGCTTACACACTAGGTTTAACAGAGTAGCAAATGTGGAGGAAAAGAACTAGAAAGATAAGTGTTGGTTTAACAAGATTTGTTTACACAGGTTGGTGTGGAGAGCTGAGGTGGGTGACCCACCTCAGCCTCTCAGCCCTGACAAAAATGTTACTTTCTTTTTTTTTTTCTTCAAAACATTACTTTCTAATATAGTTTTAAATTTGTTTTAATTGCAGTTAGTTCATATTTTTAACCCCACAGCATCCCTCTCCTCTAGGCCATATGGGGAAAGGAGTTATCTGACCATCATAAGGGATGGGAGATTCCTTTAAACTATGGCTATTTTCCAGATTCCCAGAACTCCCAGAAAAATTCAACATTATCACCATGTAAAAAACGCAAAGCACAGTGCTGGCTTCTAGAAGGTTCTTCCCACCTTGGTAAGCGAGGAGAGGGTAAGAACAGGGCTGAAAGGAAGTGAAGGAATCCTGGAGAGGAGAGAGACTCAGGGCCATGCACAACCTGATTGGCCCCGACATGCTGCTGCTGTTGCTGGGAGCTTGGAGAGCAAACGTGAATATAAGAGGCAGGCAGCCGACGGACGTAGCCCACAGACCAATCAGAGTGTAGTCTGTCATCACGCCACCCGGTGGCCAGCCAATGGGAACACAGGAGGTTCTATAAAGGTGGGCTGGGTCCGGTAGTTCTAACAGTCAGAGAAAGACAGAAGAAGTACCAGAGCTATGGCTCGAACCAAGCAGACGGCTCGCAAGTCTACCGGTGGCAAGGCACCACGAAAGCAGCTGGCCACCAAGGTGGCTCGCAAGAGTGCACCTGCAACCGGAGGTGTGAAGAAGCCACACCGATACCGACCAGGCACTGTGGCCCTGCGTGAGATCCGCCGCTACCAGAAGTCTACTGAGCTGCTGATTCGCAAGCTGCCATTCCAGCGCCTGGTGCGCGAGGTTGCGCAGGATTTCAAGACCGACCTGCGCTTCCAGAGCTCCGCTGTGATGGCTCTGCAGGAGGCTTGCGAGTCCTACCTGGTGGGGCTCTTCGAGGACACCAACCTGTGCGCCATCCACGCCAAGCGCGTCACCATCATGCCCAAAGACATCCAGCTGGCCCGCCGCATCCGAGGGGAACGGGCCTAGGCCCTAGGGTCACCCACTTCGTGCTCTGTCACCCCAAAGGCTCTTTTCAGAGCCACTCAATAAGTCTGAGAAAGTGGCTGTACCACTCTGGGGTTTCTAACCACAGGGTTTCCTCTCCTTTTGCTCTCTTCTGTCTCCCCTGTGTAATGTTTAGTTAGGCTGGTTATGTGCATGGGGTAATTCAAACTTATCCAGCCTGCTCCGAGTTGAGTGCCGAGTTATGAGCTTTGTTTCCAACAGGTTGTCCTGAATCCGGCCTTGACGCTGTTCCAGATGGTAGAGCCAGGAACTAGTCTGGGTCAGAGTTACAGGAAGCCCCCCCCCCACCCCAGGAAGCTCACTGGGATCAGAACACACTACTCTGCAGCACAGCAGGCTCAGGGAAAGCCACTGTCTACACCTGCAGCCCTCTAAATCCAGAGCCAGCGATGCTCACCCAGAACAGGCCATCTACACCCAAAGCCAGACTCTACACAGCCCTGGAGATGCCTAGCCTCACAGGGCTCTGTGGCCCTACTGGTCCCTACTTCCTCTGTGCAGCCCCAGCCTCCACTTCCTCACCTGACCCCTCTACCTCCAGGCACGGGCTTGGTGAGCTTGGGTGGGGAGTGGCTTTGGGGGTCAAATCCATCAGCGGATACTGAAAAGAACCTCTTCCCACCCCAGGCCCAGGGGACCTGATCCTCTGCACCTAAGCCAGGACCCCAACTCCTGCTCCCACTCTCCACCCCTCAGTAATGACAAGGGAGAGCACCCCCTTCATCTCCCCACACGTCGCCAGCTCCCTTTTGCTTCGCCACCCTGACCCCGCGCTGCACACTCCTCCAAGCGACCTCCAACCCCACTAGGTACCGCTCCCTGCCTCTGCTGCCTGACCTATTAACCCCTCCCCCTTTCCCCAACGGAGAAGCTTGTGCAGCTTGGGGTTCTCACCTTTTGCATCTTTCCCTAGTAGGCGCCACCTCATTGCCCTCCAGGCAGATTTCCTCACCACACAGAAATCTCTCTATCCTCCCCTGCCCCCCCCCCCCCCCCCCCCCCACCCCCGCCCAGGCTTACCTCCGCTCTCACCCCCAACTCCGGCTAGCCAAGCCCTTGCTTTATTTCCTTCCCTTCGAACCCTACCTCGGGCTGGCGAGGCCCAGCCTCTATCTCCTCCGGCTTCCAGCAAGCCCCGCCCCATGGCAGAGAGGCCCCGTCTCCATCTAGCTCTCCCTGCAAGTCCCGCCCCGGGGCCCCTGCCCCTTGCTGACCCGCTCTTCCTGCTGACGCCACAAAGCCCCTGTGCCGCACTACCCAGGCGCCCCCAGGCCCGGCGGTCACCCCATGGACTCCGCCGCGCAAACCCAGCCTTTCCCAGCCGCGTGTGTGCGTGCTGGGCCTGGGCGCCAGGCGCAGTGTAGGGCCCTCTTTTGTGAGTACCAGCCCCTCAGAGACCACCTCCCGCCGTGTCTGGTCAAGCCTCTGACTCCCCGCCCCGCCGCCCCCCAATGCCATCCTTCCCGCTTCTGCTGGGCTTTTCTGTCCCTGGGGAGGGTCACACTTGGGACCATGGACCAGTCTGTATTCTCAGTTCCTTAGATGAAGCCCAGATGGACAATGGGACATTAGTGGGACATTAGGAGTGCCCAGAACCCTGAGGGCCTCCAGAGCTTCAGCCTAAGCCAGACACCCATGTCCACCTTTCCCTTGCCCAGCCATGTCCCCCTTCGGGCTCCTGAGGACTGGGGGCTGGGAGCTAATGTCACCTGCTCTGCTTACAGAGGGCTCTCTTAAAATTAACGTGGACCCACTTCAGAACATCTGTGGACTCCAGAGACGCCAAGGCTTTAGGGATTGCAGAAGAGTGGGGTAGGAGTGAGCGCTGGGAGCTTAGACAGGTTCAAATCCGTTCTCTCTACTGGCCCCAACAAGGACCCTGTGAGGTAGGGAGGGGAAGGGTCTCCCCATGCATGAGTCCTGCCTCTTCAAATTTGGAAAGGTGCCTGTGTGTTGCATGTGCCCTGTGCATCTGCATGTCTCTGTATGCAAGCATATGTGCACATGCATGTATACCTGTGGGCATGCATGTTTACATATACCTGTGTGTGGTATGTTTTAGTGTATGCATTTGTACACATATACCGTGTAGTGCACGCGTTTACATGCCTGTTCCTATGTGGTGTGTTTGTGCATTTGTATGTTTTCTATGTGCACATGTGTTTGTAAATGTGCACATTTGGGGGGTATTAGTGTGAGCCCATGTTTGCATACACCTGTGTACGTTTTGTGTTCATGTGTGCATGTAAGCACCTGTATTTGTGTGCGTGTGTGTGTGCGCGCGCGCGTGCACGTACATAGTCATGCACATGCTTGTCTTTTCCACACTACACTTTGCTCCCTAATGGAAAAGCTGTCATGTCCCTGAAGTTCTCCTTCTTTTGTTGTACTGGGGTTTTGTTAAAGAAAAAAAAAATTATTCTGACAATGTTTAAAAGACTCTTTATTGGAACATGTTGCAATGGAAGTGTTTCCTTAGTGCAGAAATGGGGCTCCCTCCAAACGCAGCAGAGGCAGGCAGGGACACACTGTGGCTGAGAGGATGGAAACCATGTAAGGGGAAACTTGGAGGGAAGGGGGCTTCCAGCTAAACTGGCCCAGCAGGGTACCCCCACCCAAAAGGCAGATCAGGATTAGACACCAAAGGAGGAAAGGAGGGCTTGACCTAGTACCCAAGTGGGGCTATTCAGTAGGATTCTCTTTGAAGACTGGGTGGGTAGGCTGAAGATAACCCAGGGCTAGGGTCAGGCTGAAGGATGGGTTGGAGGGGCCCTGTGGCATTTAGCTAAAAAGGGTCCTTGTAGTTTCCAGGAGGCATTTCTGCCTGTTATTAAGGAATCTAAAAATAACAGCTGCCGTGTGTGGTGGCACCTGTAATCCTAACAACTGAGGAGGCTGAGGCAGGAGAATCACTAGTTTGAGACCAATCTTAGCATCTTTGTTGAATCCCTCAGCAGCTTAGTGAGACCTTGTTTCAAAAAATAAAAAGGACTGGGGATGTAGCTCAATGCTAAAGCACTCCAGGTTTAATCCCCAGTATCAAAAATAAATTTTAAAATACAATAAAATGAATCAAACATCTGTCAACTCCCTAACTGGCTTTCCTCCCTCATCAGGAAATACAAGGGGGAGGACAAGGGGGAGTCTTGTTCAAATAATTCTCAAGTCAGAGTTGTGTCAGGCAGTGTGTAGAGACAGAGAGCCAGCCCAAGCACCAGGTCTGAGGCCGAGCTGCTATCCAGGAGTTTCACAGAAACCCTCACCTCATACTCCAGGAGACATGGATGCTGTGGAACTTGCCAGGAAGCTGCAGGAGGAGGCCACATGCTCCATTTGCCTAGACTACTTCACAGACCCCGTGATGACCACCTGCGGCCACAACTTCTGCCGCGAGTGCATCCAGACAAGCTGGGAGAAGAATAAAGGCAAGAAGGGGAGAAAGAAGCAGAAGGGCTCCTTTCCCTGCCCAGAGTGCAGGGAGGTGTCCCCCCAGAGGAACCTGCGGCCCAACCGCTTGCTCACCAAGGTGGCCGAGATGGCACGCCAGCATCCTGGGCTCCATAAGCGGGACCTGTGCCAGATGCACCAGGAGCCCCTCAAGCTGTTCTGCCAGGAGGACCAGACTCCCATCTGTGTTGTCTGCAGGGAGGCTCGGGAGCACCGGCTGCACAGGGTGCTGCCAGTGGAGGAGGCTGTTCAGGAGTACAAGGTGGGCACCAGGTGGGTGGCATCTGGGACAGAAGTGTGTTTGTGTGTTGGGGCTCAGGAGCAGCACTAACAGCCCCACATGCAGGATCATGTGGTGCAAGTGTCCTCTCGCTCATGGACAAAACAGGTGGTAATCAGGCCTCCATGGTCTGGGCTAACTTAGGCGTGTTGGTGTCCCTGAACACTACAGGACAATCTCCTGATTTCAGCAAAGGGGGAAATTGTAAAAGTTAAAGTCAGGGGCTGGGGATGTGGCTTAAGCAGTAGCGCGCTCGCCTGGCATGCGTGCGGSCCSGGKT